TATTGTCCGTATTTTTATCATTGCAGTTATCAGTTTTTCTGATAACATTATTATGACGACTAATGTCATTGTTATTGTTGTTGTTATTGTTTTTCGATTGTAATTTTTTGATTGTCTATTTGAATGAATTTATTGCACTGCAAATGTAATACCACCAATCTCTTTCATGTTCGTTTTTCAAGCGTATTTATATGTACTCGTTGCAATTCAGTTATTATATTAGAAGAACAGTTAGAATCTGGTGTATCACCCAGTTTTTCAGTGGGGTTGATATGTTTTTGTATAGCAAGTGCTGTGGTTGTTTTGTATTTACTGTGCACCAAAGCGTCTTTTCGAAGCAAGCGTTTCGCATCCGTTTGAATGTTTGGTAGGAAGAAGTTTAGTGGGATGGAAGGAAGCGAGAAAAGAATGTCTTTTCCATTTCATAATAGTTTATCTTGTTGTTGTTGTTCATTGTTGTTGTTGAGATTTTATTCAAGATGATTCAATTATTTGATCTTATCATAATTTACGGACAGAATCAAATTTATTTTCAGAATTCATTCATTCATCATGATACGCTTTCGTTGTTGATTGTTGATGTTACTATTATCATTGTTGTTGTTGTTGTTGATGTTATTGGTAATATTAATATAAAGGTACATATTATATAACAACGTACACGTGTTACTTTCATTAATAATGCAACATTTTCGTCATATTATCACTTTCCCAAGTAATGTTTCTTTCTCAAGTCAAGTTTGTAATAAAGTTGTTAATTTATTTCTCTTCTTGAATCGGTGAGTGTGTTGAGCAATTATATTTTGCACATTTACTCACTTGCTGCTGTTTGAAATTGAATTTATTGTTGCTGTGAGCGATTGCATATGGTGACGGACAGCCCGAATTGCTCATCCTGAACACTCATGATCGAAGTTTGTAAAGGGATAGTGATAATTGAACGAACATGTGGGCAGGTGATGATTTTAATAAAGCGTCAAAGATTTGTATGGGCGCTAGCTGGTGTGGTCTCGGTTGGTTATATGGTCTGTTGTTATGATTCAAGCTGGTTTTGTATTTGTTCCGTTTTAAAATTATCGCAGTATGTGTTCTCTTGACTATCTTTGACGGAGATGCTCGATTGCTGTATGCGGAGGGGCAAGAGAACGTAATAAATGCCCAGAATTTCATGCTTTTTTCTGTACCAATCCCTACATGCACCTTTCTCGCTACCATAACCGAGTTATATATTTATCAGGAGGCGCATCATTTCATTATTGTTACCACGTGATGGAAACTAATCGGGTGGTGCTCTTTAGTTGTATTGTATCAAGATGTGCGATCGCAGTGAACAATGAACGAACGATAAAGAGCAATTTCCGGATTCGAAGATTCAGATTCGTCAAAATTGATGTGGCAGTTGGAATGAAATTATTGCAGTCGTACTTTTGTTGAACGTCAATAAGAGGAGCGGTAGGCATACGCAGCGGTTGAAGTTATAAGTTGCAAGAAGCCTTATCTGAGCCACCATCATCACTATTGTAATGGTTCGTATGATTATTCCTTATTAAAATGAAAGTGGTGGCATCAATGACGATGAAATTTTTATCTAGTCGTTACATCAGAGCGATTCGCATGCAACATGGCGCAAAGTTGGTCCGTTTTTTATTTTATATCAATATCTTCTACATTCCTTCTTCAGTCTGTCATCTGCTCTGTTCATTTTAAGAAGTCTTTCGTGACAAGTTAAAACGTAAACGACGTTCCAGGTCATGATATATGTACAACTGCAATAACAATAAGTTTGTATCATAGCAAAATACAATCGCATAATTCACTTAATAAGAGACATGCATACGCCTCTGACCGTCTATGTGATGTTTTTAAGTCAGTTTGAGTCAATGTCATTTGATGCCATTTATTTCATCGTCATATCACTTTTGTTCATTCCTTCCTGCAGTCATCGATGCGTCTGTTTCGCACTGTATCTATATATTTGTCGTCTTTGACTAGTATATAGTTTATTTTAGTCGAATTTTTTTAGTCTCATCTTATCCGTATTGTGGTTGTTGCCTTTACTCCTCAATTATTTCACTTCATATATGCGAATAATTGAAGCGTTGCCGTGTTTGTATCATGCAGTTTGTCGCTTCATTTATTCAGCCGATGGGATGAGACTAACCATGACTATGTTTTCCTCTTGTTAGAAAGAAATTGAATTTTGCAAAGAACGTTTCAGAATTGAGTTATGGTTGTTATGTGCATTGTGTTATTGTCGTTATCGTTAATCCACTTTGTTTATCATAGAATATGTAGTGAGCACTTGATGACGAAATAAGATGAGATATCAGAAGTTTGTTGGTATTTACTAAATTATAGTTTGTTCATTTCCTTGTTTCTTTATTGATTCATTCGTTTGGTCGGTTGGTTCGTTCTACAATATAGCATTTCTTTTAGGTGAATAACGATTACGATAATCATCTGATCATCAGCTGTAGCTGTACGGAAATGAATGCGGATAAGGATTGTAAATGCCATCGTTTAGCGATTAGTATCAATAAAGTGCTCGAAAGCGATCATTTGGAAGTGCAATTTCGGAAAGCAATTCTTTCAATTTCTGAGGTTTGTATCTTGCTATTATTTCTTATCACTATGAGTTTTTCGATTGAATTCATTTATTGATTGCAGCAAGAATTTGCAAAAGTGGCCAAATTCAGGTATAAAGATGATGCGTTAGCGTCATTACTTGGACGTCTCTTCTTAAGACAGGTTCGTTTTAAATTAGCTGTTTATTGTTGGTGATACTAGCAATAAATATTCGTGCGATGTGCATGTGCATGAATATTTATTTCATTATGCTTTGGTTCACTAGCGGGATGAATCAAAATTTGTTGCAGGCAGCAAGGCGTTTAACAGGCGTTCAGTGGAATGAAATTGAATTTGGCCGTACTGAAAAAGGTAAACCGTATCTTTGCAAACCGGACGGGTTCAATTTCGGTATGAATGTCTCACATCAGGGTGATTACGTCGCATTTGCGAGTAGTTGTACAGATAAAGTTAGTTGCTTTATCAGCTGAATGCATTTGTTATTTGTTAGTATGTCATTTAAATATTATCAGTGTTGCTCATTAAAGGTTGGTGTAGATTGTATGCGTTTGGACAAAGATCGTAATAATAAAACAGCTGACGAGTATATCAATTCAATGGCAAAATCGGCGAGTGCTGAAGAGTTGAGAGTGATGCGTTCACAGGCAACCGAACAGATGAAAATGACCTATTTCTATCGATATTGGTGTCTGAAGGAAGCACTTTTGAAGGTTGATTATTCTTTATCAGTATTTTGTATTAGAATAGTAATAGCATAAAGACAACTCAGCTCAGAATTTTAGGCAACAGGCGAAGGATTACTATCGGATTTGAGACGTTTAGATTTTCGTGTTGATGCGAATGAGCGTTATCGTCCACGTTGTTACGTGACATCCACATCAGTTTTGCTGGATGGTAAACCACAAAATCAATGGGTTTTTGAAGAGACGTTTATTGATGATCGACATGCAGCCGCGGTTGGTGATTATTATTATTGTTATTTTTATCATTATTATTGTTATTGTTATTATTATTAAGATTATTATTATTGCGAATTCGTTTTTCGATTTTTTGGTTGATTGCAGGTTTGTCGTGAGAAAAAACTTCCACAAACGTGCGAATTCTATTCGGATGCTGAAAAACGGTTGTTTTTCTCAAAAGTTGATATGGATTTTCTGCTCGATGGTGCCACTCCACTAAACCTAGCGATTCAGGATGATGGCGCTAAACAATGGCAAGAATTCGTTGCGAAACCGAGGAAAAATTTTTAATTGTCTGATAAATTCGAAGTGGAATAATAACGGTTCAATGATTTCGGTGCTGTTATCTAACATATGTTTGTGTATGTTTCCGCTAACTCGCTGTTTTTCTACTGCAAAGGAATGAGTACTTTTTCCAACATCAAGAAATTCAGATCCTGTGCGATGCTCATATTTTTGTGAATCAGATTGTATTCGGAAGTCAGATTGACCTGTGCCGTGACATATGTTTTATTTTACATTTTGATCAGAGTTCAATTCAGTGAGACAATTCAGGAAAAAGTTTCGATTTCCTGAAGTGAAAGCCTGAATCGATGTGCCAAACTATGGTTCAAGCACTTACCAAGGTTTCGAAATAGAAAATGTTCATATTGTCTTGTGGGAAACGACCAACTAATTTTGCAAAACCACTTTTGATCATTAGTTCTGGTTGCCAGAAGAAGATCAAACAATGATTGAAAATCCCACTGCACATACCTCTTTCCCCTATAATTTTGGTATATACATAGTTTCGGTATACGTGATCAATTCTGGGGTAAGATCACCTTCAGTATTTATAGAATAATCTTGGAACACAGTTAGAAATGTAGAATTCACTCGTAATTACAAAATTAAAAAATTTTAGTAACGAACATGTTGTATTTGTAGAGCCATTATCTCTAGAACTTCGAGATCCGTTCAGCACCACTGAATCAGTCAGAAATATGACTTATAAAGAAGTTAGTCCAGAACACAGCTTCCACCCTTCATCAATCATATTAGAGTTCCGCAGACTCGGAAAACAGGTTTGAAATCAACTGCATTACTACAGGAATATCGTAAGCTGCATATTTAAACTACAATTAACCTCATTCTAGTGAGCAACATAATGTTTCCTGGTACGAGCGGACAGAAGAGGTTCTGTACCATCAGAAAACATTATATGATCCTGAGTTGTTTTGCTTGTCTTAATGACAGCGTGTTTCATTCATTGGAAGGATGGAAAGACTTGATAGGTTGAGTAAAGCACGTGATCCAGGTATAATATTTCTTGCCCCTCCAAATACTACGTATTTTTCAAAGAATCATTTCGAAAGGTTTCGGGAAGAAGACTCTCCAACAATATTGTTACCGTTTGTCTTGAAAGGAAGATTTCTCGGATATTTAGTTTCGGAAATTGGGAAGGGAAGATTTTAGGGAAATTTAAAACCAGAAATTTTTGAACGGAATATTTCGAAAGTAATCGGAAGGAAGATTTTGCGGAAATTTTGTGTCCATAAATGTTGGAAGAATGATTTTTTGAAAACTTCAGTCTCGGAAATGTGGAAAGGATTCGGAAATAAACCTTAAACTAGAAAAATTTTTTTCGCCTCCATATATGTGCAGGCGCACATTCCCGTGCGCGCGGGGCCGTTGGGGGGAGGGGGACTGGGGCAGTGCGAAAGTAAAAAAAAGAAAAACCTGGTATTGTTGCCGTCGAGCAGCCTGTCGACGTCGGGCAGCATAGCCAGCGATGGGAAAAGGGAACCTCCTGCGGCCGTCTGTCCAAGCCGCCTCCGGAGGGGGCACGGCTGAGACTGATATGATTTTAAAGTGATAAGGAACGAAAGAATGAAAAGAAAGAAAGAACAAAAAAATAGCAAGTTAGCGAACTTTATCGCCGAACAATGGCTAACAGTGAGGTTAAATGCACGAGTGAGGTGGTATGCCATCGACGCGTGCTGAGAATGTGCTGTATCAAATGTCATGGCTTGACTGTGAATATTCTATTAGTGAATTTTTAATGAAACCTTAACTTTCGATAATGAACTTTGTTCGCACTTTTCGATGACCTCATTTTATATTCTCGGGCTTCGATAAACCGCATTTTTATCGGTAGTTTTCAAGTGTTGTTTGAAAAAGTGATCTCCAGCTGAACACAAAACTTCATTAGAGCTCTGAATTTGTCTGATTCTTTAGATGCACATTGTTTTCATCGACTTGAAAAAGCCTAAAATCCCTGTGGATTCGAAGTGGTAGTCCCTTTTCTCCATTTAAAAAATGATAATTTTGATTACGGGACCTAATTTCTTGAGACTTCCTCTGGTTTGATGTTTTGTATTCCTATCACATTCTCTGCCCTTTCTCGTTAAACTGTTAGAAAATTATGTGCTAATTGAACAGCTTCGTTATGGTACGTTCACTTTCTTGCTTCTACGATTCTTCTTCAGCTTTTTCCATTTTTTTTTCAACAAGGATATTTAGATTATATGCAACCCTTGTCCAGCGTCATGAAGTCATTTATGTTGAATTGAGATTTTATTCATTCAAGTGCCAAAAATTTATACGAAACATCAGAAATGCAGCGCTTTTCACCTCTTGTTTGATCTGTCGTACATTTCTCTCTGAATAGCTCTGTGCCACAATGTGAATTAAGCATAGATGAATTCGAAGAAACGGCTCATCTTTCCTATTGACTTGTTGCTCTGATTCGTGACCACCCAAAGTAGGAGTTGCATCAGTTTCTTTCATCTGCAGTAGATCCTTCACTTGGAGATTCCACAATTCATTTTTTACACCCTTCCAAACATAGGAAAGTAATCAGTTCGCTTCGTAATCGCAGCGTAAGGTGAACTATGAGATACATAGACTCGTGATGGCATCTGATTGACGTTCAATCGAAATCCCAAATGTCGGGATCTCGGAAGATGCAATTGGTCGGATTCAGACCGAAGAATTGCGAAATTCAATCGGAATTCCGAATGTCGGAATGTTCAAGGGTCGATTCGGACGAATTCCGACCGAACTGAAGTTTCATTCGAATGCTAACACTAACACAGACAATTATTTTTATGAATATACTGATTGATTCAGGGAGCATATATAGGAAATGAATATGGTGACAACGACAGTGGATTAGTGCTAAAAAGTGTGGTACTGTAAAGGGTTCATTAGGAATGGTGTTGTGGGTGTGAGGTGAGAATCCTTTTCTTTGCATTCGCTCAGTCTATATGCTGAGAATTTAGTGGGGATGGACTTGCCCCAGCAATCCCTCCTCCCCCTCCCAATCCGCTTCCTCTGCCGCGTATACCATTGATTTTCTCTGTTACTTTTGTTGATGTTTTTAAATATATTATAATCAATAATAATTATCCTTCGTTATTATTATTCTGTTAGTGGTTAGCAAAAATCCACTTTCAGTCTCATCTCATCATACATGTAGTATTCCTGTAATGGCGCTGCTTGGCGCGAGCCAGTCGTTATCTACGAACGTAATTTTATTTTGGTTCAAAAAGTTTGTTTCTTTTCAGGCTTACTTTGTGCTTCATCACTTGGTGCATTTTAAACCGTACTAGTAGTCCTTATTGGCTAAGTGCTGAACATCTGATGATAATAGTAATGTGTACTTGTTTTTTGGTAGAACTTGCTTTGGTATGCTCGCATACTTTGCAGAGCCCACTGATATGTTCGCAGTTGGTGTACTCATATTATTGTACTTTATAAAATGATTGTCCTTGTTTGTTGTTTACTTTTTTGGTGTTCCAATCATATCAGTGTTCTGAAAGCAATTTGAACATCCACTCATTGATTATGCACGTTGATGTCGATTTTGCACCGATCGTTTCGTAATTCTCCCAAAATTCGTGGAAATTCTGTGCGAAATTTGTTGAAGCTTATTCTATTAGATTTGATCGAAATTTTGACGGTTAAACGAATACTTTATCGAGATTTATTGTTGGCAAACATTTATTGAAGTTTCCGGTTTGCGAATAAGAGCTGTTCAACTGCTAACTTTAATTGTTCGAAGAAGTTGGTGAATCATAGATGTCTGCTGGTCATAATCGAATTGTATAGTTGAAAGTTCATTGCGTTCTGGTGCTATGAAGAAGACAATATTTCAGAGCGATGCAAAGGCATAAGGTTTGTTAGATTTCATCTTAATAAATGAGTACGTTCACCATGAGAAGTGTTCATTTTTGCTAGAAATCGTATCATGATTGAAGAGTGGTTTGGTTTCAAAAACGACACTTGAATTCACTGTAATTAATCTAATGAGAGTATAGTTGACAAATACCACCGACCGAACACTTTATCGTAATTACCGAATTTCGATGGCTATCGACGAAGCGAATTGTTGTGAANTGTTGTGAAAGGATTTTATCGTATGTCGAGTCGTCGGACGTGTTTCAGACAGAGCGTTCACGACAAACGTATCATTTACTTATACATACACCAACAACGAACAGAACAAATTTTGCATCGAAAATATTAGTTAGATTAAGGTATGATAAGAGGGGATGACGCTATAAGAAATGACGTGATGTGCATTGCAAAAACCAATTATTTCGATACATTCAGAAATAAGTTATAATAGTTTGATAGAAAATAAATATTGCACATCAAAGGTGAATCACAAAATTCGTGAATACTTTTATTCACGACACGAATTATGAGACTTTTCAGAACTAGGTCAGTGCCCACCGATTCTCGACTCCGTCTGATTTTAGTTGCCTCCAAAAGTTAATCGTTAGTCTCGATGCAATGTTATTTGAAAGTAAGTTAATACAATTAGTATTATGCTCAGGTATAAGTGATGAGTTGAAAAGATCTTTTATCTGACATCATTTGAGTAGGTTTCAGTTCTTTTGAGTCTTTCTTGTGCATTTTGCTAATGTGCTCGATATGTAATAGTCGACTGATCTGAGCTGTTTTATACATAGACTTGATTGTGTACGCTTATCGCCTTTCACTTTGTCACTTATGTGTTCCCAGTTTGTTGATTATTTTCATGTATTGTTACTTTCTGTTGTGATATTACTTTTCTTGTTCTTTTTGTTGTTGCTGATAAACCATTGATAACGTTAGATATGCTTGAACATGTCACATGCATACACAACCGTGTTTTATCTTTACTGCTCTCAATAATCATTCATTTATTTGATACAAGCTAAATTCTTGTTCGCGGAGGAAAGTTTCGCTCGAAACCGAATGGTGGACCTACATCTTCATTTATTCTTAATTCTTTTTTATTCATTTTTTACTCATGTGCAAAA